CGATAATTTACAGAGCCGGTAACTTTACCGAGCGTTCAAGCAACACCTAATTTTATTTACAGATCCGTTAACGTACTTACAGTTCTGTAAGTAGTTACAGGACGTTTATGCAACCCGCCCTTATAGTGCATGRCCGGTTCACCCTTGCACACGACGCTATACTACTTCTTCCATGTTCCAATGTTCCATGTTCACGTCAACCCTCTGAAATGAAATTGCACGACTGCCCAACTATCGACAACTACAACTATTGAAATATTCCGATTAAAATAAAAATTTACACAAATAAGTGATAACACGGTGAATCACAACATCGATTAATCACGAAAAGGTCACGGGGGTTTTGAAATGACATCTAAGTTCAAATTCATGAAATAATCAAAAAAATTATATACCGCATAAAATGTACGAGATCGTCATCCGACATTAATTACAACGATCACATTCTGATCGTTCTCAGTCAAGCCGTTAGCGCGCCGCTATTGTTGTCAGCATAGAAACCTGTTGCACATCGATCATAAAACGCTAAGGACACGAAGTGCGGATTTTAAATTGCAAACAAACACCGAAAATTTTTTTTAAATAATCAATACTCACAAAGACGTGTTGATTGCGGTTGCAGCGGTCGTGACTGATTTGTCTTAATGTTCCATGTCATAACATTAATCCGTCGCCATTTTTTGTTTTGGCCCCAAGTGTTTAACGCMTGCGTTAACCATTAGGTTACTTATTGAAATATTCCAACTAGACCGACTTGTAGTAGCAGCTATAATACATCAATATCCCATGTAGAACAACTGTAATATAATACACCAAACCCAGATAAATAGAAGAAAACAAAATAAAACAGTCATACTGGAATAATGCCAAATTGAAAGTGTCATCACGAAAATATCACGTGGTTTTGAAACGATAACTAACGCCGTAAATTACGAAATAATTTAGAAAATTAGTTTGGGAAAGCCACGAAACAATATTAATGATGGCTATCGTGAGTTTTAAATTTGTTTCCACCATGCGTTTACATTATCCCGGGAAYTATTAAATATTAATACGATAATCTGAAGCGTCACACATTTGACCAAGTAATGCTATAAATACGATATACGGATGTTTTTGAATTATTTTCATACACGCCATGAACAATATTGGAAAAATTAAAAATTAGCAATACTCACGAAGTCACMGGTAGTAGACGAAATGACGGCTGTGGCGGTCTTGGTTGAATTGTCTTGAAACGCCATTGTTTGTGGCAGTGATTCGATACTTGGTACTCGGTAGGTCGTAAATTACGATAGAAACCATTTAAGTGAGTTTCGCTAACGAAATCATAACAAAAATTAAATTCCTACGAAACACTGAAACGTTATCGACAGAACAAAGAAGCTTGAAAATGGCGGACCGACCGTTAACACAGAAGAGTTCGTTGTGAAGAAATGAAGGTGATCTTCAGTACAGGAAGGTGGAACGTCGAATGRCATTCCCGCGACCCCTGGACGCCCGTTTAAAGTGGTGCRATTCATTCAAAGCACTTCCTTGTGCGTAGTGTGACCAACCTGTACCGATCAATTATATTTTATGGCAATGGCATGGCGTGTGTCAATTTCACCCTGCATTAAACCCCTAATTCAAAATTTTGGCGTATAATAATTGCATGCATTATAAAAAAAATTTCAAATTAATATAAAAATTCAATACATATTTAATTGTTCAAAAATTCTAAGCGTACAAAATACTTGTTACCGATATGATGAAAACAATATTTTTAGGGTTGTTCAAAATATAATATACCCTATGGCCTATACCATTAATATAACATAATATATTATTCTGCGGACTAGTGGTATACTAAGCCTTCWATAATTTAAAAACAAAAAAAAAATTAACCACATAAATTTCACTACTCAGTTAATTGGATAGGGTTGGTAAAGGAAACTGAGAAGAGTGAGATGTTTATTTCTTGTTWAATATTTATTCAAACAAAATTAATTTGTTTATTAAGAATATATTTCTAGTGCTACATATATTTTATTATATAGTATTTTAAATTTTTAACATATTTTTACATATTTTACTAGTGATAAAATTTGTTACATAAAACGTTTTAATAATTTCTATCGCGAAGAGAAATGATTCTCATAATAACAACGCATAATTTAAATTACCTACTCATTTTTAAAGATAATCTAGCATGCAGTATGCACATAAGAAAAATGTTTTAAGTGGTCTCATAAAAAATGTTTACCGATTAAATTTTATATTATAGTTGATTGTTCTTTAAAAATAGTTCAAAAGCTATAACCGAAATACTAGAATAAAGGTTTAGAATCTTGGACCATGAACACTATAACTATAGCTATAACTATAACTGAACACTATCATTTTTAAACAATTACAATTATGTGTAACATTGAATTATAGATACCTATAGTTTTGAGGTTTTAATAATATTATAAACATTACATAAATAGACAATTAATAATTTACAATTTATAAGTTATACGCCATCTTAATAGTTCATTGCAGTGATAACTTATTTATGCGATGATTATCAGTGTTTCGGCATGTAATTAATATAATTATAAAATAATAATTATTATATAAATAACTAGGTTTTATTTTTAAATTAATTGTTATTTAATATTATTCTTAATTTATTCATCAYCTATTTATAGTATTTTGTTTCAAATTATATTATTCAAGAAATATTCAACATTTATCTTATTTAATATTATAGTTACTTAACCTATACCTACTTAAATAATACAGATGTTTATTTATTCGTGATTTTTTGATTATTGAGATATTTTATGAAAAAAATTAAAACCTATAAAATGATATTTAAAAAATTAACTCTACGTGTAAATGACTTTAAAATTCTAGTCCCTGCAGCACATTAAAAATAGTAACATAACGGTCAAGATAGAGCACATTTGCATACACCCGATTACTGTTGATATGATAAAGATCAGACTGCATTTCGGAAGAAATTGTCTGGTATTCGCCCTGTCGTACTATTAATTCGACGGCGGCGTTCGTTCTATTGTAAACGTTATTTATCTATCCAAACGATCGAGAAGATGACTACTAACTAATTACGATCGATTTGAAAAACTAAAAAAATAAATGAATAAACACCGAGGACAATGACCAATTATAATATAGAATAATGTATTTGTCTTATATGCGTACAGTCGGAATTCTCATTTTTTTTTTTCATTTAGACGACTCAATTTGTTTTAACTATACATTTCAGGTTTTTGATCAAGAGATAACTGCGTGTGAAATTGAGTAGTGAGTAGAGGTACCTATACATAATAATACTTATACGTTAAAAGGACACAGTGAAAATATTGTCTCGTGCAAAAAATAGTCGATAGAAAAAAAGGAACTAAAAACTGATAACCTCCCTCGACTATTTTTAAATTTTTAATTTAACTATTTTTAATTACAAATATATTGTGATTGTACCTACGTATAATATGTACAAAATAAAAATGATTAGACTATGTAAATGTGCAAGTTAACAAGAAATTACTAAATTAAAAAAGTCAACAACTGAAAATAATTATTATACATAGTTTTCTATTCTTGATACAAAAATAAACAATT